GGTTGAGTGACTTCACACGCTGTTTTTGGGGTGCACAAGGGGGGATTATGTAGACAAATTCCAAGCGTCTCTGCAGTAGCTACGATACGATTTTTCATCGGCTTTGATCTGCGACCTCGAACACAGTAGAGAGGCCGAAATGCTTCAGTCGCACTCACTTTGTGATCGGACTCGACGAGGTGTGAAACGATGGCACTTGTAATAGTTTTAACCACACCAGTGTTCAGCTAGGCCGAATGATGTTCCCGATACTCGTGTAGATAGAATATGCGTTGCGTTGCTTGAAGTACCCTATAGCCCTCGAGCAAACACAAGTTCTATAACAGGGAGAGAGAGAGAGGTATATGCTAACCATTTAAAATGATTTTATCTTAGATAGCCCATTTGCGGGCTATATTTAACGATCCTCGAACCTGATTGGAAATACTGGATCCATATCCCATGGGAGTTTGCCTGTGGGTGCATTTTGAAGTCGTGACCGATCAACTGATGTACAAAACGCCTTCGTTTGTCTTCAAATTATCTTGTTCATATTGATGACCTGTACAACCCATTTTGCAGAACTCGCTCTCCAGATAATTTTCATTTGTTCTACCTGATCGATTGCATCCTAGAAACTGAGTTATGCATTTTTTTTAGTCATTGTTTTCCTTGCTTTACACGAATATTACGAAATATGCGGCTCATACTAAGGGTGAAATGTGAAACGAGTCAGTCCCTCGAAACGCGGGATGTGAGCCTTTATACAGTTAGCAATTTTGCTAAATGTTGTTTGTTTTACATAAAGCTCTTTCAATTTATTTTCACATATGCTTCTTCTCATCAAAGATATTCTTGAAACTCGGGTGTGCATTTGTGATACAAAAATAAAGTTACTTTGATCTTCGATTTTGGCTTCAAATATCGATTAACTCTATCAACTCTGTTACATACCGGGAGCGAGAGAGATGAATAGACAACCTTGTCGTCAGATGGGTCTACAGACAGGCTGACATACAGACAGTAATAAAAACGGACCAAATGGATGATAACTGGTTACAAGAGAACCGTTTGCCTGAATTATTGGAGATTAAAGATTGGCAAAGTAATTGAGACGATGCGCATTATTTTTCGGTCTATCCCAGCAATCGTTTGTCTTAGATGCGTGGTTTGTTAGCAGGAGAATTTACTAGTTATAGATAAACAATTGGAAATATTAAGAGACATTTATTCACGAGTACAAAAACGAACTTCGTTAATTTCCAGCTGCTAGATGGACTGATTGATTCATTAATTGACTAACTGCCTGACTGCAGCTGACTGATAAGTTGCTTGAACTTTGCTCTCAGCTTCTAATTTCTACCGAAAGTCCAAAATGACATCCATAGTGCATACTTTTCGTGAGTATCGCTTGCTCTCGTTTCTACTGATATTGCAGTGTGAAACCAAGAAACGAGACATGCGGGTTGAGTAAAATCCCGCAATCTATACTATTGCTTGGTATTTTGGAACACTGAAAACCATAATTGTAGCAAATTCGTCTACTGTCTTCATGCGTGGCACACAGTGTGACCTGGATAAACAATTCTGTTCACTCACCGTCTCGGCAGCTCCACCCGGATGAATGTGCCGCACTATAATCCCGGTACTCTTGCTCCCACACATCCCGAAACCGAGACCGGTGGTACTGTCGACCAGTAGCTCGATCACTTCCACTTCTGTCCAGTCCGTGTGCAGCTGATCATGTCACATTGTAATGCAGGGTGAAAAAAGGCAAGATAGGTGGGACGTACGCGGAGGACGCAATGAATGCATTGTAACAGCAAATAAATTGATGACTGGGAAGTAAAGCGGAAATAGCTCTATACGCCTAATTGTATGAGCCATACGTCTTTATTGGTACATCTGATTCCATTGTCAGGTATTTGTGGGTCAAATATCAGGCTGATGAAGATTTCCTAGTACCGGTTTAACTAATCACAGTAGCTATTCACAGTTTGGATATGAATGAAGTAGTGGACTCTAAAGGGAATCCCAGACGTGAAGTGAACTTGACACAGAAGTTCCGAGAGTTGATTGAGTTGCTACAATGAAACTAACTCCATTGATTGGCACAGAATCCGTGTTAGCCTCAATACAGTTACCAGGATGAGAGAATTGTTTTCGATTTTGGTTAAACAGAAATCCGTCAACAGCTAAGAACAGTGCAGTTGAATTGTAATTGTGAACAACTTTAAAGACAATCAAGAGAATCGGAATTGATAATCTGTACACTGGTCGATTGTAGCGCCATTAAGTATTGTCCAAATTAGTTGCATATCAGAATAGATTTGACTACATCGGTTCATGACTCGAAGTCAAGCACATTTAACCAATGGGAACGAACACAAATGTGAAATATCTTAAACATGCCCCAAAGACATTCTTTATCAAGTGCCAAACGACCTATTTTGATGTTCGTGAACAGTATTCGCCCCCCAAAAGTTAACAAATCACGTTCAATAGCACCTATTCCTTCAAAAGATCTTGAAGTTAAACTGTTCTGTAACTGTCCTGGACCAGGCGTTAAAGCCTCCAGGTTCACCTTGAGAATCTCCACTAATAACTCATCCAGTATCTTCGGTTTCTTGAAGTAAATCATTTTTATACACAAAACCCTCAGAAAAGGATCCATCGGAGGTGAATTTGGAGACCGTGTTGGCAACGGTTTAATACTTTTCAGTTAGTTCCACTTAAACTCAATCGCATCACCTCGGCCGATTTTACGCTGCCTTTGTTTTCCTCGGTGATTTTCCAGACTGCTGTAATAAAATCTCGGACAAACGAACCCAGGCATTTTTCTGAAATCTTTTCCCGATAAGGCGGTCAAGTAAAACATTGTGTAGATTGTTTGGAAGTCGTGAACTGGTCCTCGGACTTCCACCGCTCTCTAGGCATGTCTGTGACATTTATGGTGCACGAAGGTCTTCATCAAAACATCAAATCGTACTTAGTTGAAGATACAGAATATATTGAAACCATCACAAGATATAAGATTTGCGTTAGGAAATTAGTTAATTTTGATGCCAGCTGCAAAATCCCGATCAACGCTGCTAGTCTCCATCACGTGAAATTCCAACTATACAAATCGTTGATTTGTGAATCAATCTCACTTCGACATTGCCCACACCGAGCCGTAATCACATCCGAATCTCCTTTGAATCTCATTTCGTGCACATCATTGTCTACCGTCCGCATCACAAGCTTCACTGCATCCTCCGGAGACCAAATTTAAGGATCTCAGTTTTGTCGCATAAGCAAGCACAAACAAACAGACAGTCCCTTCTGCTTCGAGGATTCTTCATTCAAACAACTAATGATAGCCTTCCAACTGTAGAGATTTCGGCCAAATAACGCTGGTGGTATGCGCTGGTCAGTTGTTTTCCTTGCGGGTGCAATCAACTGACCAATTCAATTCAAAGATAGGCCTTTTGACTGTGACTGACGTTTCTAACTGATGGTCAAATCCATCAGTCTTCTTGACACAACCGAATGGGTAATCTGCGTTAAATGATGCTTCACTAAGCTCGAAACTCAGACACTGCGCAGTACCGTTGGATCCCACTGGTCATTACGTTGACCAATCTGTAGGTTCGTTTACGCGCGCGCCTGTGAGCATATGCGTAATCAGTGCTACAGTCTGTAGCTCAATTGACAGTTCGAATTTACGTTCTGGGTCCGGAAAAACCCAGTGCGTTGTTTCTTAACCATTAATACCGTTTATAGTTTTGGTTAACTGCCATAAATGGGTTCCATCAGCTGTCCTTACAAAAAAGGCATAACCCCTACATGTTTTATGGTCGGCGCAAACGTGCCATTGTAGGACAGGCGTACAGGTTGGGCTTGCACACCACAGATGGAATCAATACGGTCGTACGTTATAACTATTGATGAAATTTGCAGTAGCGATTTCAGATTTCAATTTGGGCGTTTGAGAAGCATGCCTATTTTATTGCCCTATGGATATACTAATCTTTCGGCTTAGGTTTTACTGTGTGTGCCAGTCACTATCGTCACTATCATTTATTATCATGTATAATTCATAATATTTATTATTATTTTTTTGTTTTTTTATTTATTTATTTTATTTATTTTTTATTTTCTATTTTAACATATCATGTTACGTAACTGCTTCGAATCAAAGGAACCAACAATGTCCGAAAGATTATGCTTACCATGATCGACGTAGAATTGGTGGTGTTCAAAGTCCAGAAGACTTAGCAGTCAGAACTCCGTGATCCATAAGAGTTCACGTGTGCACGGTTCTTCAGTTTCATTTTCATCCTGCTACTCATTTGCGCATTTTTCTCGTTTGGTTTTCATGTATAAACTGTACGAAAACGCAGAAAGTGGGCAGGAATAAACGACTTAGTCTTTTTGGGTTCTCATGGTTAAGTAGTATGCCTCAATTTTCCGCTACACTCGGATCATTGGGGACTTATTCGAACAAAGCCGGTACTGGGTTTTCTACTCATTTGTATCTGAAATGTCTCAACATCAAGTTGTAGTCATTTGAAAGCCATTGTCTCTTTGATCTTCTTTGGAAACTCTTCAAGCATTTTTTATGTTCTTCACGCTAGACAATATCAAGCTCTGTTGAGGTTTCCTTTATTGTCAGTAAAGTGCAATTGTTGCATTAAAAAAACCGTTTTATCTGACCCCGAATTTTCACGGTTAGCAGGATATAATTATTGAAGCGTGATACATTTGGCAATGTAGGGTTTTACTTAACCACAAGAAATTTCGGCCCGTAACTGTGTATTCGTTGAATGCATGTTATAAAGCTTTCGTTATTTCCTTGCAGTTGTCTCATTGGGAATGTATTGTTCGACGGGAAAAAACAACTTAATTACACCATCAGAGAAGCCACCAGCAGTGAAAGTGTACCGGTAAGATGTAACCTAGTTACTTGAGAACAACAACCATGCATTAATTTGTCATCGTATCCGACGTTTTATACACATTGTAAAGAAAAGTAAGATTTTGAACTATATATATACTTAGTGAAGAAGGGACAAACTTCAATGGAACATATTTCTTATTTAAACATTGCTTGAAAATATCAAAAATGGGATTTATCATCACGCGCAGTTTCATGGTAGTAGCGGTGGATGGGATTTATCGACATCATGAATTAGGCGTGAGCTGAAACCCTGGGACATACGAAATATCTGGACAGCTGACAAACGGTTGGATCAGCTGCCGGGTGTCTGAGTGGGTAGTATGGTTGCGTTCTATGTGTGAAATCCCAGGTTCAATCCTAAGATGGGATCGACGAATTCGTACTGCTGATAGAACCAACCACGTCGAAACAGCTGTCCGGTACTTCCCAGCTTTTCAGTTCATGCCTCGTTTACGAGACGGTCAGTTTCCTATCAGTTCTATGTAATGCGCTTCCGTTAACCGCTAGATTAAGTAGCGATATCACAGATGTTTCAGGATCGTTGTTATTGTTCCAATGGCCGAATCCCTTAGTAAGTACTACAACACAGTGTCTGGAACTTTGGCAGTTTACCTATTCATTGCTGATTTCTATCTTGTTTGATTTTTTTCTACGCATTTCCTCAAAGTTTCGTTTCTGATCGACAAAGTGGACAACCTATGGTTGCCAAAGGATCAGGATTGTGCTACCAACAGTATTTTGGCCAGGCAGTTCAGAGTATCGCAAAACATGCAGAAACAAAAGGTGCACGATGTAAATAACGCTTACTACCAGCCTAAGCTTGAGAAACTCTGAGTCACGAAATTTACGGGATTCGACGTGATGGAGAAAAAAGTAATAAATTGAAGGTAGTAATTTCCATTTGTTAAACTGCATGTTTCAGTCGTTTGATCAGAGATTGTGCCGGACTAGTTCAGGCAACGGATAGCAAATCTATCCATTGCAATTTGTTTAATAAATATATTTAAATGTTATGCAACAAGCAATCAGAGAACGTTTCCAGGTGAGTCATAGCCCCCCCCGGGGGGGGGGGGTTCTATTGCTTTGATGAGCGAGGTGCAAGGCAGGAACAATATCGAAATAGTGGATTGTGATATGTCATGTAAATGCAAATGAAAGATAGCCTGATTAGCTGTCCGGTGACCGTGTGGGTAACAGAATTGCATTCTGCGGGGAAGGATCCGGGTTCGATCCCCAGTTGAGTCAATGGATTCGCAGAGCTGATGAGACCCAATCAGGTCGAAACAGCTGTTCAGTGTTTACAAATTTTCAATTCACGCTTTATTTGCTTTATGCACGGCGAATTCCTTCATGAAATAATAATATGACCGATTGTGCAAATAGCGGCGACAACGGTTCTGCCTGAAATAATCCGTGGAGGTGCTTTCAACCAATCAATTTCGTGGTTGGACAAAAAGAGAGAATGCTGATCTGTGCAATGGTTGAGTGCATGCCCCGCATGTTTGTAAACGAATTGTGAGACAAACGTAGAGACCAGGCTCGCTTTGATTCGGTTGAAACCAGTTTGTCAGTAAATTCATGAAGTCATTCACCGGACTACAACGGTTTCCGATTGTTACTTGAATCAGTTTGCATTAGTCAGATAAATTTGACTTCAGTGTATGCTGACATGCACCAATTTCTGAACTGGTATGCATACCTGTTTTTCTTACAAAATCATTGTTTGTATTAGATAACTTGAAATAAATTTTCCAATAATATTTATTTGTTTAATTCTGTTTGCCATTAATGGTTACCCGAGTGACTGAGGTGATATAACTACCCGTTTGCTATTCATGTGCATTGAAATAATTTGGACTAATAAAAATAATAATAATTCATTTCGAATGAAGCACACACGTGACTTGATTTTGCTCTGATCCGCCAACTGCGTACTGGAATGAATTTCCCGCTAAATTAAATCATCCTGGTTTGTATTAGTCAAAATGTTCCGTTTTTACTTCGCCCACTAAAATGCCTTGGTGAGAACAGCAAAATGGCACCGATTTCTGTGGAGGACAATGAACACCTTTGTGTCACATCATATCAGATCAGAAAGATGTTTATAGGTTGAACGATGATGCAAGATATTGTCAATTTAATTCAATCGGAATTCTGCTCATGTTAACTTCAACTCCCTTCCCGCACATCGAAATGCCAATGCACATTTTGACAGATTCATTCCACCTTCGCCGAATTGTTATGTCCTCTGGGTGAGGGGTATCAAAGCTCTCTTGTTATTCTATGACCTCTAGTGTACCTTTTACTAAAGGTGCTTTTCCACTGACATTTCAGTTTTGCCTCGATCGAAGGATACCAGAGAGTCCAGATCTCTCCGAACTTATGGCTCACCGACTTAGAATTTATGGATGTAATTGTCGTTTTTGGCGAGGACATGGCTAACCTCTAAGTAATTGTTGACCGCATCAATCGACAGGCCTCCGAGATCGATCTAGAGGTGAACACATCAAAAACCAAAACATTTCCGACAGTCCCGATTCATCCTGAGAATGCTTGGCTACTAAACGGCGAGCGGATCGAATCCATCGAAAGCTTCAAATACTTGGGCTGAGGACTTTAATACAATGACGATGACCACAATGGTTTGGCCATATTCTTCGTAAGCTCGATGAAGACCTAACAAAAGCTGTCTTGGCACTGTCTCCTTTCCCGAACTGGTACTGCCGGCACGGTGGACAGTTGACACGGTACGAAAGGATACTAACAACTTTGGTCTCCGCTCCGTCTACGGCGTTCGCCAATGGAAGTCAAGCTGGATCACAATATGCGCCGATCATGCCGCAGATCGCCGAGCGCGGGCAGCGGCAATTCGAGGTATCCATGAGGCCGGTTTACCTTCTCCTAGGAGCCAACCATCGTAAAGTAAAGTAAGTTTGTCTGAATGTAGCATGCATTTCACAAAATCACAGAATCTTGAATACTCTTGAGGTAAGCAATTGATCACCATTTTTTTTCGGGAATCTTCAAAGAATCTTCATCATCAGTGATTTATGATCTTGTGTAATATGACAAACACCGCCCGTTGGTTGAAGTAACTCGGATACAAACGCATTGACGTTTTGCGACCAGAAAGTTTCAATATTTCGCAGAAATGTTGTTTCCTGATTCAATGCAGTGGTTGTAGATGATGGCGCTGATTTGTAAGAAGTAGTCTCGCAAACGTTTTCCTCTGATTTACAAAATAATTAAAAACATTTCTCCTTGTCCGTTGCTCAAAACATAAAAATAGTCGACCATCATTTATCATTCGAAGAATGTATGATTGCATGGATTGTGCCAAAAACGTGAAGCATAGTAGCCTCATTAGCAGTTTCGTAGAGCGGATCACGTGGAAAGATTGAAATTTGCAATCCTGGGACTCGAATGTGACGTTTAACTCCATTGTTTGTACAGTTGCGAATCAGATAGTAGAGATTAATTGACTTCATCTCACCATTGATATCGTCTTTTTTACATGAGTTTAAGTGTGGATGTATGTGGACAGGGCACAAGTGAAACATGAACAAGTGATACTCGCGAACCTGTCAGCGATGTGATTAACATATGTTCTCGAAGAGCCGCAAACAAATGTATCCGGATACGCGCATGCACACACAGAAACTACAGAAACCGAGAAACATGTCTGGGGTGCAGGCATGAGAGCAGTCTAGCGAGAAACCACAGATCTGAAGCTTTGCCATTAAACGTTTGATTCTTTTATCGATGAAATCCGTAAAAAAGGCATCTCACAAGTGTCATGAAAACTGTCGGTGGTTCATGACCGTCGTACATGATCAATATATAATTATAAAATGATGTCATAGAACCGTCTTCCACGTTTGTTCATCGCACAATATTCAAACACCTCCATTAACCAGTGCTTTTAAAACAGTATTACCTTTCGAGCATATACCTTCATCCCATGGTGCATTTAATCTCAAAGTAAACCAAAGTCTGTACCGTTTACTGAAATGCACAAACAACAGTTCAGTTTTTTTTGCAGACAGCAGTCTTATCCGATCAATTGTACTTTTGACTTCCAAAAGCCTCAGTAGATTGGGTTAAGCTGTCTTGGGTTTTTGATGGTCACCCTTCCTTGCACAGCACACAAATGCGCCTATACTACCAAGCGTCTCATACGGACTCTGCCGGAGAAACTCTACTCACTGTCCTCCGCTAGTGAGAGTGCAAAGGGCGCTTTGGATATTTGACCCCGTCCAACGGGCGTGTGATCCG